CTTTTTGCGAATCGCCTTAGGCAAAAACCAGTCAAAGTTTAAATATTATTCACGTGACATAAACAGTTTAAAAAAATCACATTGTTTTTAAAAAATATTTTTTTAAAAACAATGTAATTTTTCAATTATTATACACTCTTTACAAAAATAATATTGAATAAAAACTTACTTTATGTTCAACATTTGTTTGCTGAGCTTTTTCTAAAACTATTTTTATCAATCTTGAACCATCTAATTTAACTCGAATGCTTTTACCAACGATTTCCGATGGGCAACAACAACAATGAATGAAATGCTCAACTTATTATTGATTTACTTAAAACCTGAACATTTGCAAGCATTATAAAGTTCATCAAATAAAGATTTAATTCAAAGTTCCGTAAGTTTCACTTCACAAGAAGGAAACATCTGTTGCTTCATGCAGTAACAGTTTTTCATAGCGGTTTTCCTATAAGAGGTTAGCATTTATTTGCTAACCTCTGATAGGTTTTCCTATCAGAGGTTAGCAAATAAATGCTAACCTCTGATAGGTTTTTCTTTAACATTCTAAACATTTTCTAAACATTCTTAAAAAAATTATATCAAATACTATTTTTGAATATATTGTATTAAAAATTATATTTTAATTCAATTATTTACTATATTTTAATATTAGAAAGTATCTATGTTTGTGGGATGTATCTCACCAGTCATACAAAGACAGAAATGTTAAAATGAAAGAGTGGAAAGAAAATTCCACATCTTTCAAAACAGAAAGTAAGTAAAAATAGTAATAATAGGTTTTAGATAAACATTAGTATATATACATAAATGGCTATATTTTTTGTGTTTCATTTGAAGTTTTGCAAAAAAATTAAAAAACCTAAAAGATTCTTTAAAAAAAAATCGACAACGTAATAAGACGACTAAATCAGGTGCTGGTACAACAGCTAAATGCAAGTACTATGAAGAAATGTTATTTTTACATGATAAGAACAGCAATATTTTAATAAAATTTTGAATTAGAAGAAACTATAACTGAAAATGAAGATCAGATTGTTACTCCAATTGCGGTAAAAGTCAAAAAACGGAAAATTATCAATGAGGCGGATGAAAAAATAATGCAAGAACTTTCAAACTTTGATAGCGAGCTAAAAAAAGTTATGACTCATAGTCAATGTGAAGACACATTATACTACCAAAGTTTAGTACCGATATATACCGATTTTATACCGATATTGAAAACTTTACCGCTTAAAAAAAACGAATTGCAGAAATTAAAATATCCCAATTGTTGTATGAGCTTGAATTTGATGGAAAATGTGAATAAAAAATTTTTTTTTTGTTATTTATTTTATAAGCAAAGAAAAATATCGGTTTTAAATTTAAAACTTTTAGTCCTTTTGACAAGAAGTATTGTTTATTAATGGACATTGCCAATCAACTGTCCCATCAGTATTAAAATATTTTTTGAAGTTGTTTCTAATTTTTCGATCATCTTTAGAATGATTATAACAAGCAGAACTTAAACTTTCTTGTAATCCGTGTACATCACAAATTTCTTCTCTCAATTCACCAGGTATTAATTCCTTTTTGACCATCTTGATCAATATAAGTATTTGGACAGTAATCAGTGCGGTAACAGCTTTTGTAATAAGCACGACTTTTTTTGTTGAAGCAATTATAGGTCTTTTGAAAATCCAAAATCTGGATGCCTATACCAAATGCATTCTTAACTATTCTTCTGACACGCGACAATCTGCCATTAAATATTCGTTGTTTGTACGAAAGATTAGAAAATGCATAAGGTATCATGATCTCCAACAAACACGTAGAGCAATATTGTTTCAGTACCATTTACATGCCTAAGGAATGTCAACCAGATTATTTTCAACACAAAATCTTTAGCGAGTAGATTTTTTTTTTCAATCAACGGACACACCTAAGACAATATTTCTTTTAATATTGTTGGTGACATGCGAAAATAACGAAAAAATAATTCGTGGTCAAACAATTTTAAATCTTTAACAAGAAGATTATATTCTCCTTTTTGTTTACGATCTAAATAAAATTTCGTCATCCGAAATCGCTTCTTATACTTTTTTTGCGATTTGTTTCTTATATGTAATAATATTTGTTTCTTATATGTAATAGTAAATTTTGTTTTAAAAGCATCCAATGTAAACTTATAGCTGCCATCATTTATTATTGAAAAAGTATCGCGAATAATGTGGAAATCAAAACGGCGTTTCTTCATGACGAAAAAATTCGCTTCGTGCGAATATTTCGTCTTGCGGAAAACGGCGTTAAATCATTTCGGATGTTTTATCTATCATTATTTAGTAATATTTTTATATAATATTATAAGATTAGATAAAAAAATTCGTGTGCGTATTATTGTATTTTTATATAATACTACATATACATGCAAGGATTTTTTATCTAATCTTTTTTTAGTAATATTATGTAAAAATAAAAGTTTTTAGAGCGCAGGATTTTTAATCCGGACGAAAAAAATAGTTTGATATACCTTTATGAGAGTGAATTTCTTTTTATACTCGTCAATTTAAAAAACCCATGCAGTTCTGAGAGGTGTACCACATACTGCCTAACCAGTGTTTCTGCCAATACTTAAAGGTGGATTTCCATGATTAAATTTTAAGTTACCCAAATTCAACGTCACAAAAATTGACCCAGATTCGCTTAGAAAAATGCTCTTTAACTGCAAACAATAATAAAATCCACATTAAATGAATTGCTAACTTAAAAAAGGGGACATGTCAAGTGAATTTTTGCAGGACATATCCCCTTTTTCAAGTTAGCGTTTCAAATTACTCAATAAACTTTTATACTACGTGTACCATATAAAATTTATTAAAGTTATGCAAGTTTATAAAATGCCATTTTCCGTGATTTTTTCAAAATTTAACCTAATTTTCTTGATGTGGCATACCCCTGTATAGGGGTCGTCCATAAAATACGTACGCGAAAAATTTTGAAATCTGACCCCCTCCTTCCTCCTGCTAACTGCCATGCGTACTTCTATATCCTTCCCCCCTAAAAAAGTACGTACGTTGTTGAAATACCCCCCCCCCCCTCAACTTTTTTGTTAATGAAAAAGTTTATGGAAAAAAAAAAAGTGAAGCTACTTTATACGACTTAAAAGCTCTTCGTTTGCGGCACAGGATCCGAATTTAACAAACCTCTTTAAATATATATGCAAATATTTATTTAAATATAGTTAAATTAACGTTAATTGATGTGGTCGCTTGGTTTAGCAGTTAGCTCTACGGTCTGAGGCGTTGGAGATCCGTGTTTAATCCTCAGTCGAGTTAAATTGTAATTTTTGTGTTTTAATGACGAATCAAATAAAAATAAACTATACTTGAGGCCAACCTTTCTTTTAGGCACCCCTAATTAGTAAGTCCGTTAAAAATGAGTCCTACGTGAGATCAGTAAGGGGTCGTCCATAAAGTACGTACGCCAAAAATTCTTGAATTTGACACCCCCTCCCCCTGTTGCCATGCGTAGTTCTAAGTCCCCACCCCCCTTAAAAAATACGTACACTTTCATGTACCCCCCCCCTAATTGAAAAAAAAGGTGGAGGAGATACCCTAGATACTTTAAAAGTATCTAAGGTACCTCCTCCTCCGCCTTTTTTATTTCAATAAATTTTTGTATAAAAAAAAAAAAAAAAAAAATAGGCAGGGGTGAAAAACATATAAAGTATTTATACGACCCCAAAGCCCTTTGTTAGCGGCAAAGAATTCCAATTTAAAAAACATCATTAAATATATACAAATATAAATTTAAATATAATTAAATCAACCAATATTAAAGAGATCGCTTGGCTGAGCGGATGATGTTGTGGTAGTGACAGCGGAGATCCGAGTTCGATTTCTAATGAAAGTCCTATTTTACTTTTATTGTTTAGTGAGACGCAAGAACTAAAATAAGGCAGACGTTTTCACAGGCGCTCTTTAGTAAGTCCGTATAAAGCGAATCACGCGAGAGGAGTAATATTGAAAACAATGCTTAAAACCCAGTGCCAAGTGTGGGCTACCCATACCCCGTAATTAGAGGGGGTGGGGTGTTGCGGGGTAGCAGCAAATTTTATGCCCTTCTGCTATTTTATTTTGGCAAAACATAGCGGTAAAATTTGGACTCTAATGACACGTTTTTTAATATTGAGAGGAGGAGGGGGAGTCTCCGACCTCTTAGCCATTGCACTGCTAAACCTGTTTTTGTTGACTCAAAAAATAGGCAACCTGCTTTTTGCACATGCATGCACACATGCCACTCATATACAGGCCCTCTGCTTACTCAAAGCCAGTATATAAAGGATGGCATGGGCGCCTGCAGGATTTTTTGTTGTTTCAAATAGGACACTTTAACACATAGTGCAAACTCTAAACTTTAGTATATTTTTACCTATGCCAATTGAGGAGACCTTGTAAAAAATTAGTATGGCGGAGAGCTGTTAACAAAGTCCTGAAACGCTTGCCCCCCTGCTCAAACATGAGGGCACTTACTGTAGTAAAATTTCTAACTTAACGATCTAAAATTAAGTTAAAAGTTATCGACAGAATTTAAATTTCGTTGAAAAATATTGTATATTACAAAATGTCGATGCAAAATGTACAACACATCCTTAATTTTTTTAGGAGGAGGGGGTCAGAAAATTTTACTACATTAGTGCCCCTGACGTTTGGGCAGGGGATCTTTTTTGTTCCCAGACTATTGCCATAACAATTTTATGCAAGGTCTCTTCAAATGTCAAAGGTATAAACATACTTAAGTTTGTAGTTTGCACAATGAGTGGGAGTGGTTCATCTGGAACATCAAAAAATCTTGCGGGCGCCAATGCATGTGTGTACATAGAGAAACTATAGCTTCTATTCCCTTTACAGACATATTTTTATGTTGGTAAACTAGGATCTTTAGTCAGGAAATAAAGTAATTGATACGAAATAATTCTAAAAACACGTTACAAAGCATGGGCAGATTGAGATTAAAATACATTCTCTGTTATGACTTATATTTCGAAAGTAAAATGAGTGTCTTTACCAGTTAGTTTCTTGTAAACATTTGCAAACGTGTCAAGCTGAAATAAAAAGCACATAATATCTACATTAAAAAAGCTACACACTTTTTTTATTGAAAAATAAAAACAAATTATTTGAAATAATCATAAAATTTTAGATAGCAAAAACACCGTCACATAAGAATATCACCTAACAAATTTTTTTTTGAATGGTTATAAAATATAACAAAAATTATTTGCACTATTATATCATCATAATTATTGTATCCCCATACTCATCTATGCTACATGTTCCACTACAACATGTATAAAAGTTCATACTCATTACTGCTATTTATTTACACTACAATATTTATAACTATATAATAATACAATATTCAAACACTATTATATTTATTTACACTACAATATAAATTTGAAACAAAAGTTTAAATAAGTAAAAAAAACACAATAGATGTAATACAAACTTGATTTTATTATCTATAAATATCATATTAAATTATGTTGGGTATTGAAGTCAAAACACAAATTGAACAGGATTTATAAAAAATTTACAACTCAAGTTTTAATATCAAACCACTCTCAATCATTTTGCTTTTAGAAAATATTTAATATATGAACTAATATTTAAATAACATTATTTTTATTCCAAAAACAAATATTTATACTCAGATATATATATAAAAAAAAAGAACATGTCATAACCACTAACAGTTTTTTTATAACTGCTAAACATTATTAATATGAATGCCAACAATTATACACTCTATACAAAAATAATATTGCATAAAAACTTACTTTATGTTCAACATTTGTTTGCTGAGCTTTTTCTAAAACTATTTTTATCAATCTTGAACCATCTAATTTAACTCGAATGCTTTTACCAACGATTTCCGATGGGAAACAAAGATCTTCAAGAATGGCATCGTGCACAGCAGTTAGAGTACGACTAAAACATAACTTTAATTTTAAAAATTGAAACTTAAGAGTTAAAACAAATTGTTAATTAAATAAAAACTAAAAAAGACTTTAAAAAAAATAATAATAATAATAAAAAAAAATAGTATTAAAAAAATTACTATATTAAATAATTTAAAAAATTTAATTTATAAAGATAGATAATAATCCTAAAGCTACCAGATTTAAAGAATTTTAATCTAAAATGTTTTAAAATCAACTAAAGTAGAAAAATGGTAGAAATATAACTATAGCTTTAACAACTTAATAAGATTTATATAAATGTTGCTTTTTGCATAAAAATATTAAATTAAGAAAAAGTATTTCCTATAGTTGAGTCAAAAATATCAATTTTTTATGCATCAGCATTTTCTTGCAAAATACAGAGCACAAAATTACACCTAAAAGACATTATTTCTAACAATTAAAGTTTCAGTTATTTATAACCATTAAAGTTCAAGGTAATACACTGGCAATTTGTTTATCACCTGCTAAAAGAAATTAAAAAAAAACTTGATGGCCAAAAAAAACACTTATATAAAAGTACTTAAGACTAAACAATCATTACAACCCCAAATACCTATTGATGTTAATTATCAAATTACCTTCTTGGTCTCATTTGCTTTTGATTTCTTGTCTTACGACTGGGTTTAGGCAAGATTCTTCTCTAAAAAAACAAGCTGTATTTAATAAGCAGGAAATAACTGTTTCATGCATATTTACTTTAGAAATAACAAATAATATATAATAGGTGTAAGTAAAATAAAAAACTAGCCTAAGCAACCATTTTACCAACAATACCAAAAATGCAAAACCTTGCTATTAGGACTGCTAGTTTGAACATGTTCGAGTTTAAAAGTTTGAACTTTCCACCAAAATTTCAACGTTCAGGTTCAAACTTATTTTTCATGACAGTTCAAACCTTGAAAATATTTTTAAATCAATATATTATCTTTTTGGTCTACTTGTGTTTTGTTTGGCTGGAAACTCAGAACATTTAGATAAATGGCCATTGTCATTTATAGTTTTAACAATGCATTGTTTTTCATCGAAATGTAAATAATGGTAATGAAAAAATATATTAAAATATCGATTTAAAATTAAAAACAGCTTCTTTTAAGGACACTAGCACATCTAAAAGGTCAGGTTTGGAATTATTTTGAATTTTCTCAAAAGCTGCAACAATTAAAGTGCAAAATTTGCAGTTATATTAAAAACTCCTGGCTTGACTATGTGCACCATAACAAGATACTCTAAAATACTATGTCTTAAAATACCAAGAACTGAAAACTTTTTCAGTTAGCTAAAAACTGAGCTAAAAACTTTACCTGAAATGTTGAGTAGATTAACCTTACTTGATGGATTAAGCTTTACAACAATAGCTAATAATCAAGTTTTACAAGCAGCAATTTGTGCTCAAGAATATAACATCCCAAAAAGTCATTAAACTGTTTGTGATTTAGTTATGCAACCCTCGGAATTAGGGTCAGCATTTGGCAATGCCAACCTAAAAGTGCTTAAGGTCAGCAAAAAATAGCTGACTTTGTTTCCATGTTTTATGGTCAGACCTTTGTATCAAATAATTTTTGCCAACCTCAAAAAGATCAAGATCGGCAAATTATTGCTGACCTCATTTGTGTTAATTCCAAGGGTTGGTTATAAAATATTTTTACTCAGTCAAGAAACAAGTAGTTGGTTCATTTTAACAAATCATTCTAAATAATGGCAAATTTAGCCGAACATTTAACAAACACGCATCAGTTAAAACAAGAGATACACGAACTTGAATATTCCTCACAATGCATAATTTCAATCTCTTTGAATGTTAAGGGTGCATGATACAATGCCATTAACTAATTACTAAAAAACTTTGTTAATTTAAATTTAAAATTAGACAAAGATAGTTGCCTCTGTTACTAATGGAGCCAATCTAATGAAAAGAAAATTTTTTCTCCCTAAATAGTTTGAAACTGTTCAGGTTTGAACTTTACAAAAAAAAAGTTCATATTGACAACCCTACTTGCTATTTGATCACCTGAATCAAGTAATTTAAAAAATAATTTGTGACAATACAATTTATTTACTGCTTTTGCAGATCTAATTTGACAATCAAAAATGTTTTTATTTAGTTTTCTGATAAAATATAATAATGTTTTCCAGCATAATCACCAGTTCTCTTAACTGCTGTATGCTCAGACATCTTTTTTTTTTTAAAAAAAAAAAAAAATTCAAAATAACAAGTAAATAAGTCACCATTTTTGACTTTTTTTATGCCTAGAATCAAGATTTAAATAGAATAAATATCAAAAACTTGCTGGACTGCTGACACAAGTTAATACATACAAAAATTACTTTGATATTATAAGTTATTCCAAATCTATAAAAATATCAGTAAAATAAAACATTATGATTTTAAGTAAACAATTTTATTCCGGGTTTATTTTACTTAAAAAAATAGTTGTGATCTTACCATTGAATCAATAAAAACTTTGACAGTATAAAAATATGTGTGTGTATATATATATATATCCATCCATTAAACAGAATTGTTTTATTTGCTTGAACATGCATGTTGTATTAATAATTTTTAGATATAAGTAACAGTGGACTACTCAATTATATCAATAAAGATAAAGCAGCAACAGTAAATAATAGTACTCTATGTTTTAACTTCTGATTACACTTTTTTGATTTTCAGATCTATGTTTTCATACGGTTTTCAACGTGCAATTTTCTAGCATAAAACAGAGTATGAAACAGAACTCTAACTTCTTGACAATTTTAAAGTATTTAGATGAATACTTAACTTTTTAATGAACAACTAGTGGTAAAACATACAAGGAAAGGATCTGCTGCCTTGGTCTGACAACACTAGAAGAAAGACAATTAAGAGCAGACCAAATACAACAATTCAAAATTGAAAACGGACTAAATAATATAAACTTATATTCTAGTTTAACCCAAGAAAAACACAATCGTGGCACAGGACAACAAAACTTTATAACCAGAGAACAAAAAAGTCAGATATCCGGTACAACTTCACAAACAAGATAGTCAAACATTGGAATCAACTGCAAATATACTGTTAAAACTCAAAAACAACAAACATTTTTAAAAACAATTATATAAAAATGCCTAATAACACATACCATTAATGGTCTTTATATAAAATTCCTATTTAATAAAAACTTTAAAAAAAGCCTGGTTTCTATTGACACTTTAGAACAAAATGCATTTCTGATTGATTTTTTAGACCCAAACCCAAACCATGTACATTTAATTGCGCCAATCCCTATTTATCAGTCGATGTACGTCATTTATTTACCTAAATTCAATACAATTCCCTATTTGTCAGTTGATGTATGTACATCTTAAAATGTGAATTAAGTTTTAAAATAATTAAATTTTGATGAAAATAAAAACTGGGTTGCAAAGTTAAAAAAATAATTTCTTAATTTTTGAAAACAGTATTAAAATTTTATTTTTAAAAGATAGTAGAATATTGGCATTTTTAACATGGTTTTTTGTACTTTAACATCAAATTAGAGTACTTTCCTCAAGTTTTTAGACATGTTTTTATATGATTCTAAATCAGTATAATGTATTTTACCATAATCAATCGTAAAAACAGGGGGGAGGAGAGGGGAAAGAAAGTTGAGTAACACCACTTTTCGATGCTATTCAGAATGTTTTATTAATTGGAAGGTCACATAAAAGTTTACCTTGAATTTGTCTTATATCTTGATAAAAGTAACTAACATTTTCTGACAGTAATAATTTTAATTATGTTTAAAAAAAAAAAAAAACTCAAGTTAAAAATTGGCAAACTTGAAATAGTGAAAAAGCAAAACCACATATAGTCTTGTGAACTTATTGATAAGTTTATAAAATTAAATTTGGTATAGTAATTGGTAAATTGATTTGCCAATTTTTAATAGTTTAAATATTCAAAAATTAAGAGAATATTAGGTCATAAAAATGTTAAAAGTTATTTATTTAATAATTATGAAAGCTGCTGCAAATCTTTTTTAAACAAGTAATTTGTGAAATCAATTAAGCATTGGTACTTTATCTGCATATGAAATACTAAAATTTGCAATTTATATATATATATATATATATATATATATATATATATAAAATTTGAACTAAAAAAAAGTACCTGTCCAACAACAATGACATGCTTTCCAGAAAACTTTTTCTCTAGCTCACGAACCAAACGCACCTGAATATCCAATACGATTATTTTTATTACGCTTTAAAATTAGTGTAATTAAAAATCTTCATGATTAGGAAAAAAATTTACACTCAAAACAACCTGAATTTTTTGGAACCGAGTCAACAAGGGAACAGGAACAAATATAATAATACACTTTCTCTTATCTCCAATATCGATTTCTTTTGCTCCTGAAATGAATAACTCTCTTAACTCGTTTTTTAAGTCTGAGTTAACTTCCAACTCCATCAAAGTTTCTGCGATAAGTTTCTCTAGTTCGTCAGGCTGTTCGCCTCCTGGTTTAACTATTTTCGTGAACATGGTTAACTAAATAAAATAAAATTTGAAAATAATAAATCAAGAATTGATTTCTTGGCTGAAGACACAGTCATCATATCTTTATCTTGAGAAAATCTCAACTAGTAACTAATTAAAAACTACAAGAGAATGAGTATTTTCAAAATTATAGAGTTGGTTGCTATTTTCACACAAAAAAATTAAGGTCACCTCAGCTAGTTCGGGTAACCGGAGGACATTCAAAAAGATTGCGGCAACAAGTATTCCATTTTTAATTCAGTATTTTACGATTTTGCTCGATGAAAGAATGCTTAATATAGTAAGCTAAATAAGAATTTTTTTATTAATCGAGTTGAAAAAAATTTATCCGGTAGCCACAATGTAAAAAAGATCATCCGGTATTTATTCATGGTTTATATTTACAGAATGTCTTGTTATACCATACTTTTTTCCTAAAATTCAAAACATTTAGAGCTGAGCAAAGAAACAGCTACAAATATTTAAAGTATTGCAAGTTATAATTATATATATATATATATATATATATATATATATATATATATATATATATATATATATATAATATATATATATATATATATATATATATATATATATATATATATATATATATATATATATATATATATATATATATATATATATATATATATATATATATACAGGGCCTCAGGAAAAACGCCCCTATTTCAAACCAAAAAAATTATAGTTTTGTGAACGCAGCCATCTATTACTGATACAGGACATTTTAGGAGTAGGATGTTGAAGTAGATACCATCCTTGATTTTTTCGACTGTTACACTTTGGATAATACCACCACATTCTCTGATGAATCTATTTTGAGACGACTAAAAGAAGTAAGGGGCACTCTGTAGCCGTTATGTTGTTAGCGTCTTACATCTTCCAAGTGGAATAAAGTAAAGAGGTTGTAGCAACCAATAAGCTCCATACTGATAAGAAAGTTTCCTCTGTTTTTTGTGTTGTTTCACCTGAAAAAGAATGACTGATTTGTTCAAGAATTTTTAGTGCAATGCGCTGGATTGATGCTGTTTTACTCAATCTATAAGTCTCCTCTATTGATCTTTAGCTCCTCCGTTCTAACAAAGAAGAGACAATTCTCCGCTTTTAAATTTAAATTTCGTGCCCAGAAGCGAGCAAAGGGAACAGTAGAGAGCTTTAGTAGTCAAAGCCAAAAAAAATCTTTTTACTTTTTACTGATTAAACAAAGGTTGATGAAGCACTTTCAAAAGTTCTCATAATAGAATCACGGGGAAAATCTTGTTGCTTTAAGATATGTGAAAGTAGTCGCTTTAAAATAACTACATCTTGATCTTTTTGACTCAAAACAGCAAAATAGGTTCGGCCACAAAATGAGAAACAGCAATAATTATTACCAAGTCAGGTTGAGCACCAAAATTTCCCCTGTTGAATAAAGTTCCTCATTCTAAGTCACTTTAAAATACATTTAGTTCATACATATTATACAAATCGAGTGCAGTAGGTAATCAAGAAAAAAAAAGAGAGCTTATTGGTTCCTCTTGGCCCTCATAGACGGACTGGGAGTCACGGTAATTATTACAGAAATCCTTAAGATTAAAAGTTAGTAATAACAAAGAAGTTGTTCTTAATAACTTTTTTCCTTAAAAATTAAAATTTCAACATTTCCATCATCAATTTGACAAAAAAAAAATTTCTTACTACGTTTAAAGTAGACATTTTGTCTACGTTTAAAGTAGACATTTTGTCTACGTTTAAAGTAGACATTTACTTTAAATTAGTAGTAGTTTAAATTAAAGTAGTAGTTTAAATGTAGACATTTTGTCTACAAATAAAAACTCAAATACTTGATAACTGGCCGGGTTCTGGTAAAAGGAAGGCGGCTTATTTGCCTAAAAAATGTGACGCTATGGTTCTCTTCTTTGCTTTAACAGTCAAATACTCCTTGAAAAAGAAGTGCTTTTTTCGTAAAATTGTCAAAAAAATGTTTTGCTTGCTTTAACTTTTTCAACAGCCGCGTTGCTCACACATGAAGCGCACTACCTAACGAAGTTTTTAATGTTATCAGTGCCAATTGCTTTAAATCGAAATTCGATCAACTACTATTATAATTATATACCGATAGCTTTGATAATGAAAAGCAGTCTTTTAATGATAAGAAAAAATTTCATACTATAAAAGCATTATTTTTGAGATTTTGTAATCAATTTCGATGGAAGCTTGTGATTTTTAACATAGGCTGGAAATAATCTACTTTTTTAAATGTGTCCTTTTACTTTTACTTAAGTTTTTTTTTTAAAGTATGTACTTCGCTACATTTTAAATCATAAACGATACGGAGTAAAAACTCTATTACCTTTTATTATAATTTAATATTAAAATTTACCGGAAAAGTTTGTAGTAAATTTTATCTTTGCAACAATATTTATAACATAAACGAAAACTATAAGGTAACAAAATTATAAAACAGGCGCAGGTCTGTGTGTGTGTTCGTTTGGTTTTTTGAAAGGCCTATATAAATTATGATTTAATAGTAATGCGTAAAAAATCTGGTCCTCAGCTCGATAAGATTCGAAAATATATTATAAGAATTTTTAAAAAAATTGGCTTTCAAATCGTAATAAACATAAATTTAAAAATTGTGAACTTTCTTGATGTCACATTTAACCTCTCTGATAATTCATATAGGCCTTTCAAAAAACCAAACGATGAATTATTTTATATTAATATTAACTCAAATCATCCACCACAAATTCTAAAACAAATCCCGATTTCAATTAATAACAGGTTAAACCAAAACTCCTCTAATAAAAATGTATTTAATTCCTCCAAACGAATATTTGAAGATGCCCTTAAAAAAAGTGGTTTTGAAAATTTTGAACTAAAATTTGACCCTGAAAAAAAGAATACAAAAACTAAAAGATAAAAAATATTGATGATTTTATACAGAATTGGTCCATCCTTAAAACAGCGCCTGCATACAACAATATTTCCAAAAAATGCATACTATGTGTACAAGAAAAATTTGAAATAATTACACATGCAAATCAAAAATGTTTGTTAAACAAAAAATGGGAATTGATTTCTAAATGCAAGCACGAAAATAAGTTTCTCCTAAAAAACTATAAAAATAAGTGAGCTCAAATAATAGTTACATTAAATCCCCCCTTTTTTTAAAATATTTTTATAAAAAAAAGCATAAGTAATCATTTCTAAAGAATTCTTTTTATAATGGTGTCAGCAAATTCCACAAATGTGTGAAAATTTACAGTAGTTAAACATTTTTTAAAAAGTTTTATTAATTTGACCATTTATTTCTGATGAGTCTTTGTTGATGAAACACAGTGTAAAATGAAAAGAATTTTTGTTAAGTGATTTTCTACTAATATATATATATGTATATATATATATATATATATATATATATATATATATATATATATATATATATATATATATATATATATATATATATATATATATATATATATATATATATATATCATATATATATATCATATATATATATCATATATACATACATATATACATACATATATATATACTCTCGCAAAAAATGTCGAGTTTTCCTCCACACCGGTGTGTAGCTATCACTCCTAGACACAAGTGTGGAGTTATTTTGCACACTTTTGTAGAAATTAACATTTTCTAACTCGACTTCTGCACAGAAGGGTGAAGTTATTTGCACAAAATTGTGCAAAATAACTCCACACTTGTGTCTAGGAGTGATAGCTACAGACCAGTGTGGGCGAAAACTATATATATATATATATATATATATATATATATATATATATATATATATATATATATATATATATATATATATATATATATATATATATATTTGTATATATATATATATTTGTATATATATATATATTTGTATATATATATATATATATATATATATATATATATATATATATATATATATATATATATATATATATATAAATGCATATTGTAAAACTATAGTTTAACAATATGCATTGAAAAAAAAAATCTTATGAACATTATTTTATACAAAAGTTTCGGACGTAAAATACTATTTTAAGTCCGACATTTACGTCAATAAACTAAAGCCTTTAAATAAATTCTACTCTGAAAAGAGGAAGAAGAATAAAAGTGAAACTATGTTGTGGTTTCTATTTTCACCTTATGTTATTCTGTTTAATACACTCTAAATTAGATCATTGTTAGAGAAGTAACAATTCAGGGTAATCCCACGAAAAACGTAATGAAAGTTAATTTTCATTTCGGTAGAGTTAATTATAATCTTTTCAGATTTTAATTAAAAATTGAATTGAAAATTGAAAAAGACTAACAACTTATTATACTTTTTATTTATTTGGTTTGTGGGTTTTTTTAGATGAGTTAAACAAATAAAGAAACACTGGCCCACAAAAGAGAAAGACAGAAGGCTGACTCAAAAAGAAATAAAGCTGCTTTAGAAAAAGGTAGGCTAAGAAAAAAAGTGAGTAGACAAATATTTAAAGAATCAGCAACCAAGGAGGAAATTCAAGAATTCATATGCGTAAAAGTACAGCGTGTTATGGGTTACTACTGAAAAAAAATCTTTACGAAATTAAGGTGGTCAGGATCCTGTGACTCCTGTCAAAGAAAAAGGATCACCATTTAGCAATAGGCAACTATTAGGTAAAGCTGTTAAAAGAGTATGCTCTTTTAACAGCTTTACCTGAAAAAGAAGTTTTCCTAATTTAATTCTGAAGAGATGGTGTGTTTTCAAACGTTTAGCGGATGAATGCGGTCTAAACTTTTAAGAATGTCTAGATCAAAACAACAAACACAACAAAATGCCATGGCTTAAGCCTAAGTGAAAAGAGAGTTAAATCAGTGGTATCCTTTTTTAACAGTGATGATGTTTCTTGGCTGACCCCCGATAAGAAAGACAAATCCATTCTGCATGAAAAAGATGAAAAAGAAAAAACTTATGTGCAGATTTTTTTAATTAACAGCTTTGCATGGAGAGGCGTTTAAGGTTTTTGAAGAAAAATGTCCCAACATTATTGTTTGCATTTCTAAGTTCCGTAACTTAAAGCCAAAACACTTTTTGTGTTTTTAGAAAATTCCACACAATGTGTGCATTTGCACATATCATGAAAATATTCGTTTATTACAACTAACTTTGAAACCCCATACTGGTCTGCCAATTTATTTTAAAGAGCTTATCAACTTTGTGTTTGTAATTCAATATCCAATGAGGGTATAATTCAAAAATATAATAGCTGCAAAAGTAACACTGATTTTCGGAAGTCTCGGAAGACATAGAAAAAAGCTATGTAATTGTATCAAATGATTTGGATAATAAAACTCAAATTTTCTTGTTTTCTTACAAGTTTCTTGTTTAATCATTTAAAGGAAAGTATTCTGAAATTGCTGTGGTAAAAATTTTTTTTGATGGTCCATCGGTCCATTTAAAAAACAGTTTCATATTTTCTATTTTACATATGCTTGAAGGAAAATTTAATATCAAGATTACATGAAATTTTTTTTTGGTTTCTCATGAAAAGAGCGTGGTAGATAGGACTTATGGAACCGTAAAGAAAGTAAAAGTGTCTGTAACTACGTGATAATGAGAGTTGTGTTCTCAGCACAGCTAGCCAATTTTCTAAAGTAGTAGCTGAAAGGAACCTTAATATAACTGTAGTCTTTTTCACCAAAAAAAGATGAATTAAATAATCATTATCTGAAGTTGAACATAGAAGGTGTACAGCAGTGCTAGTGTCACCCATTCTGTATACTGTGTATCTGCCGCTCACCAGCTTTACGTCATAGTTAAAAAAACTAGTACAGTTTTATGAGAAAAAAAATAATTTTAAAAGGAAAATCTTTTGATTCTGACAGTAGTGACGAAAATGAAGTGATAGAACTGATGCTAAGGGAACCCATTCCTACTCTGCTAATGAGTGATTTTCAGCCTTTTGATAGGTTGTTGTAAGATGTGAAGTTTCTACCTGGGGAAAGTCATTTCTACCCGGGGAAAGTAAAATAAGTGAAGTTAGAAGAAAACGAGATTGTTGTTAAAGTAATACACGTTTTAAAGGCTGGAAAATATTACTACAGCATTTCTTACTTATTAAAAGATATTGTTAAGAAAATTGGATCTCCAATTCCTTGTGGAAGAGCTAGGGAACAGTATAGATTCAATGATAGCATTTATGTGTATTAGTTTTTTTTTCTTTCATATAAAAAAGTTACATGTTAATTTAACTAATAATCACATGTTAATTTAACTAATAAAAATCATATTTGTAGTTTCAATTTGTAGCATAAAGCTCATGGATAACTTATTAACTATGAGCGCTTATGCTACAAAGTTAAGTTGACTACAGAAAATTTTGTGAAATTAATCAGATTACAGAAAATTATGTGAAACTTATGTAAAACTTTACTATATAAATTATATGAATAATAATAGCTTTGTGTAGGTATTAGAAGATAGTTTTGAACACCATTTTGTAGGTAACCGTCCCACTGTGCACTAGTGTTAATATTACAACAGATATATTCATTATTACTATTAGTAGTTACATTTAGAGAAATATTCACACCTGGTAGCTACAAATAACACGTGAAGTGTTTTTAACAGTTTTCTTTATGAAGACATTATTTAAAAATATTAACTTGATTATAAAAATAATAAAAACAAATCAGTAATTATTATCGCTTAACACAACTTTGCATTCACTAATAAGTATTATAGCCAAGTTTTGCAATAAAAATTTGGTTATAATGCTTATTTCTCATAATTCCAAGGTTGGCACAAATAAATTGTGGAAATTCACTAATAAATATAAAGCTGTAACTATAACGTCATTAAATTACTTTTGAGGGGAAATAACGTTCTGTATTTACCCATAGTTAAGTACTTTTGCTAATGAGACATTCCTGCTTTTCTCATAATTTATTAATTTGTGTAAGTTATTGAGATATTAAAACGTTTT